CAACAACAACAACAACAACAACAACAACAACAACAACAACAACAACAACTCACCATTCTGAATCCCGAAAAGGAAGATCCCAGTTTGCTGAGGCTGGCTGGGCTGACTGATGTTCCCACTCATGGCGTGTTGAAACAAACTTCCTGGCTGTTGGACGGGGGAGGAGGTGGATGTCTGAAGGTTCACTACACCATTCTGTGGGGCAAACATGGCTGACTGTGAGAGCTCCTGAGAGGCCATTTCCTCCTGAAGAGAGGTCATATTGGACTGTGGCATGAAGAGGCCCACAGGCTGTTCTTGTTGGGTGTTGGGGCTCACACCCAACTGCATCGGCTGCTGCTCCTGAAACAGGACTTGCTGCTGTGGATCAGACAGACTTCCCAAGGCCATGGGCTCAGGGCGATTCTGCTGATCTACTGTGACCATGTTGGTTTGGGAAAGGAGTAAAGAATTGTTTTGGGGCTCCTGTGAAACTAAACTGTTGTTTGTCAGAGGAGGCATTTGGCCCTGACTGGGAAACAGGAGGTTGGTGCCCTGAGGTGGTGTGGGCAGACCATTCCTGCAAAACATCATGCCAGGCTGCTGCTGCTGGACTGGAGAAAGCGTGTTTGGAGATGAATGTGGAGATATGGCCTGGAACAGAGATGCCTGCTGGGTTTGCTGTGAATGTGATGAAGACTGGAGGGACTGCTGCTGCTCCATGGGGTTTATTTGCTGGATTGGGGGTATTTGGGCGCCCATCTGTAGACTGTTAACATTTGTAGAACTGCATTCAGTTTGAAATACTGATTGTGGTTCAGAAGAAGAGGACTGCAGAGCATTAAGAAAGGCCAGCTGCTGCTGCTGCTGCTGTTGTTGCTGCTGCTGTTGCTGCTGAGGATTGCTGGCTGAAATCGGAGTTGGCATAGAAGTTGGGGGCAAGAAAAGTCCAGAAGTTGGGGCTTGTTGCTCTGGTAGCACTGTCATGGTATTTTGGAAAATGGCAGCCTGTACCTGCCCCTGTGGATCTTGTGTCTCAGTCAAAGGGTTTGAATTGAACATGGTCGATGAAGAATGAGTGGGGGTCTGCTGCAAGAAGCTGGTCTGCATGGAACAAAGGTCACTTGCCTGCTGAAAAAGAGCTGCTTGTTGTTGCTGCTGATTCTGTGCCGAGTGTTGCTCTGGTGGGAAAAGTGGCCCCTGGTTTGTCACCACTCCCTGAGGAGAACTTTGATGTTCGGAGTTCTTGACTTGGGTGGTATCTTGAAACATGCCACACTGCATCTGGATCTGAGTCTGAAAAAGCTGCAAATTCTCCAAAACCTGCTGCTGTTGTTGCTGAATCTGCTGATTCTGGAGCTGCTGTTGGTGCTGGATGTGTTGCTGCTGCTGTTTGGTTATAGAGTTGTCTGGCTGAAGTAAGTTACACATTCCTTTAGCTTTAAGTTGTCTCACCGCCTCCTCCAGCTGAGTCACTTCGTCTGGAGGGAACAGCGACATCTGCTGCTCTTGGGATGCAGTTTCCCCACGTAGCCTCCCCACACCTGCAGACATGCTGCTTGACCTCTCCCTTCTGAGGCCATCTCTGGGTTCCAAGAGGAACTGTTGTGAGCTTTGCGAGAGCAGAGACTCTGTAGGCAAAGAGAAGGAACTGCTGGCAGCAATGTCCTGCTTCTGGATGGTACTTAAAGGGTCAGCGTTTGCAAAAACAGCAACCTGGGCTTTATCAGCATCACATGCAGGCAGGGGAAGGGTACTGTTGAACACTAGGTCTTTATTTAGATGTGCTGGTGTTACATCTGAGGTTTGCTGGGTTGAACACAGGCCACCAGTTGGCTGGAGAGACAACAAACAGAATAAAAGCTACACGTCATTAACATGTAGTTTTCATTTCTAAGTTTACCTTTTACATGGTTTTCAATACTACTAAAGCACATTGCCCAATAATTTACCTTAAAGACTCGAGAGGACTGCAGGTTGTTTGTCACCTCCATCGGAGTGATGTCTTCTCTCTTCACCAAAGGCAACATCGAAGGCATCAAGGAAACATCTACAGCAGTTGGAACAACAAAAAAAGCTAAAGGTCAATTGAGTCTTTATTTAAATAATTTGTTGTCATCAGAATACTAGAAAAGATCATTTTAGCTGAAAACAAAAACTTAACTGCCTTCTGAAAAATAATTAAAGGTATTTTTCTTCATTTAAAATATACAATTGTTGCTGGTTATTTATGATTAAAATAACCTTTTATTGGCTCATCAAAAGAACAAGTCTTCACCGGAGAGGGCATCTCTTTCTTCACAGGGATTTCATTTTTCACTGCAATAGTGTCTGAAAAACAAGAAACAACTTTGTAAATACCATCAATGAACTAAACGTTTCAACAACGAGAGTTCACATACTTTTTTGTTTATTTTAGCAAATTTATTCTAGAAGATCAGAACAAACCTAATCCAGAACTGCTTATAATTACGATTTTGTACAAAAAAAAAATCTATAAAAAACTGACAGCTGTGATTTTAACAAACTGTAGGTGGTACTGTTATCTAAAAGTGAAGGTCAATCTAAGAAATACTTTCCAAGTAGAAACACATTTTTTTTCTCTAGTAAAAAGAATGTGCAAACTCATTTTTGGAACGATTATCAAAACAGCATTTTTAAGTGAGCACGCATGCTTCAGCGTGAGTTAGTAAAGATCTGTTCATGTGACGGTAACGAGCAGTCTGGAAAAAGTGTAAAAAGGGACCAAAAGGGCTCTAACCTGAATCTGGAGTGTAAGTAAATGGCTGAACATCATGTGACCTCCCAGCATTTGTCACCACATAGATTACCACACAAACTGGAGACGTGATAGCTTGGTTCTGATACGGGGGTACTTTCACTACTAGGTGATTCTTGACAGGATCAAACAAAAATTAACAAAAGTCAGTGAAATGCATACAAAAAGACATACAACTAAACAACTGCACAAATATATTGACGAAAAGCTGCACGTCAGCACAACAAGATGATGAAAAATAAAGAACCAGAAAAATAACTGGATCTAAATTCTGATGTGGCAGATTTGGATACAAGTGAACAGAACTGTTGCTGGTTTCGTGGGAACGTATTCTTAAAAACACCTTTTATTGCTTTAGAGATGATGTATGCGTAGCAAACATTCAAGCCATATTTGTGTTGTTTTCTTCTTCTTTCGGCTGCTCCCTTCTTGAGGGGTCACCACAGCGAAACAAGTCGCATGAAGACTTGGCGATTTTTACGCCGGAGGCCCTTCCCGATGCAACCACCGAGCTACCGCTGCCCTCTGTGTGGAGCAGAGAGTTGCTATCTATGGTGCCGAGAGGAGCAGATGGTGGGCCTTGCTCAAGGGCCCAAAGTGGGGCAAATGAAGGTGGAGGCAGGTGGGGGTGCTTCTCCTTTTCCAGCCAAATTTTGATGTTGTTGGTAAAGGGAGTTGAACTAGCAATCTCCCGATCACCGGCCTACCTTCTCTAACCTCTGCGCCACCACTTCCGTTCAAGCAATGTTTCTATTCAAAATTATTTAGTTTGTGCATTTTTTTTTTAAATTTATTTATCAGAAGTTTAAAGAAAAAAAATAAGCAAGATATTCACCATTTCACTTAAAACTGATCTTTTTTTTTTTTTTTTTTACAAGGTTCCTGGAAACAGTAAACCAAGTAAAACTGAACATAATTAGATCAGAATACAAAGAAAGTACTCAAACCTTTGAACCAAAAGCCATTTAATGTGATTATATCTGAAAACCCTCACAACACAGAGTTGGCTCTGTCAATTTACTCCTTTCATTTATAATTACCATTAATCATTCAGAAGTAGGACAGCCAATAAGAATGACATTTCACCTGATGGAACAGCTCCATGTCTATTTCAGCCTCTGCTTTCCACAATTTCTCATCTGCAACAAAGAGAAGGGGATTTGACTGAGTAATAAGTCTCATTAAAAATGGTTTACCGTATTTTACGCCGTACACGTCGCACCGTCGTATAAGTCACATCTATAACGCGTCACCACTGACAACCCGGAAATGTGGGTCGGTGTTGTGCCAAAAATCGATTAGCTACCAAATGGCACAGGAACGTGCACGGGAGGACTTTAACAAGAATTTAACAAAATTAACTTAAAAACAATTATTTGTTTGCTCGAAATTATAGTCAAGATGTGTCTCAGTCTAACTTTTGCTTAATAAATGCACTTCGACAGTCAAATCAGCTGCGTTTCAAAAGCCTATAGGCGGAAGTAGGAGCGCGCAGAGGGACGAGTCGCTGTGCATTTCTTAGAAATTTAACAAGATAAGCACCTAAGACAATTATTTGTTTGCTCAATATTACAGCAAAGGTGTGTCTCAGTTGAACTTTTCCTTAATAAATGCACTTCAATGGTCAAATTAGCTGCATTGTGCCGTGGCAGCACAGCAAAATTAAGGATGATTTGATGGCTGCTCCAAGCGAGGTGGACAAAGGTGGCAGTCTGTGGCAAGCCAATTGTGTCATTAGCCACTTTTACTTATTACATGACACAACGACATGCCATACTACTCGAGTGCCACCTAGTGTCTAAAAATGGTAGTGTTCAATATTTCCAGTCAGAATGAATGAAAACGGTCATATCTCAGCCAAAAATCGGTTTATAAATATAAGAAAAAAATCCATAAGTAAGTCTCTTCGGTGTTTAAGTCACAGGGCATGTAAATTATGCAAAAAAAACTGCGACTTATAGGCCAAAAAATATGGTAATTTAACATCTAAACATGTCTGAAAGGCTGATTTCTCACCAGAAGCATTTTCTTGGAATATGACTTTGGTGTCTTTCAGAAAGTTTTTGCCAATGATGAAGACTTCTTCTCCACCCCCCACTGAACAACTGTGCAGCGACTTCTTTAGTATCTCAGGCAGTCCTGCAGGTTGAGCTGCAAACACAAAGGAGCATGACACTGATGAGATTTCCCTGGACTGCATACTGGTTCTATGTAAACAATGGATCTCTATACAATTTTATTGATTTGACCTTTCCCCCGTTTAAAATAAAGAAAGAAAGAAATCAAATGAAAACTGGTAATTGATCTCTGGCTGTATAAAATTGAAGCAACAGGACCAGAAAAGGTTTAGTGGCAATAATTAACCAAGTAGGTTTTAGGTCAACTGTCTGTTTTCCCTCATTCAACTAGTGAACTTTTGACAGCTAGTTTGAGTGAGTGTGTCTGTTGTTACAGTGTGTAAGGTAATTTCTCTAATCTACAGATTTAGGTTTCGTTTTAAGTTTATTAAGGAAGTATTTGTCCTGTCTCAGTCTGACTTACTACACAAGATTGGAGATGAGGGAGTCTGTAGCGTAAGCATTGATCCATCTGAACGTGGAATGTTGACTCGAAACACCAGTCGAGCACGTGTGCTCTTCTTCTTTGACCCGGCCACACCAATACGAGCCTCTACGTCAGCATTACGGAGTTTCAAGATCCCAACACAGTCAACCCTGAATAGGGAGAAGATGGCAACTTAGACATGCTTGGACACATTTCCACTTCCAGTCTCAAGAAGATTATTTAAGGTTTTTATTAAATTAGCAGCTCGTTGCAAGACTTAATACCTCAGCATGTCACTACAGTAGGTTATTACACCCCCCGAAAAGAAAGTCCATGGAAAAATAAATTATTTATGCACCTGTCAGCTCATGTGAACTGATAATTAATCTGCAATGTTACATGCTGTTACATATGATGTACAAATGAGCATATAAAATCCATACATGTTCTTAAAAACGGATCTTTGTACATTACAAAACATTACTGTAGTATTAAAACAAAATGACAAAAAGTACATACGCTAGAGTCATGTTGGTGCTTGGATCAAGGGGCACCTCAATGACAATTGTGCCATTGATATCAACCTCCTTGCATGCGGTGGTGTTGCGACCGGTTACTCTGCAAGCTTGATAAAATCCATGAGGCTTCACACGTCCGGCATCGTTGCCAACAAACACCTGCAAAACCACTGGCTCGTTCACACCTTCCAGCTGTTCAAAGCAAAAACAAAACAAAAAGAGGCAGATAATGATATATGGAGACACAAATGCGTCTTTGCCAGCAGTAGATTGTGCAATATCGAAGAACAAATACCTCACAACAAATGACAAGTAGTTTATTAACTTGAAAAATAAAAAGTGAAACAATAAACGCAAATTTCCTTCACTTTTCAGTTCCAAAACATCTCGTCATGTCTGTCCTGAAGCTGAACACACATCACTTTAACTTTATACTTAAGATACACATTGCAGTTTTTTCAATTGTTGTCCAAATGCTTTTTTAAACAAATATATATCCAATAAAGTAATGAGACTGATGTTACTGCCATTTAAAGAAGCTTTAGTCGATAAGTCAGCTTTTACTGGTTTTTGTTAATCTTTTTTGCTCTTTTAACATTTTCTCTGATCCGTCTCATTTTATGTTCTCTAAGACTACTCTCAAATACAACCAAAGTTCCAACTTTATAAACGATACACAGTTACACACATGAACATGAAGCAAAATCTGCTAAATGGTTGGACTGGCAGAACAAATGGAAAGGAGAAACTCTAGTCTCATTCAGTAAAACCAACTAACAGCTCTGCAAATGTTTACCAGATCTAAAGAATTTTCTGTTATGCATCAAGGGAAAAAGTCGTACGTATAGTTTGCACATTAGCTTCACTCTGCACTTCAAATCTAGGGCAAATACCTGTCAAATTCAGAAAAATATATATTTTAATGAATCTGGCAATGAAGAGCAGTTCTACGAAGGTGCATCTTTCCAAAGAAAAAACAAACGTTAAAACAGAAAACGATCACGCAGAAAGAAACATCTTTGTTTTTACCAAATAGAAATGTCTCTTAACAAGATACTTTAAGTGCTGATCTTTTTTCCCAGTTTCTATGCCTCCAAATGCAACAACTCTTAAATAAACAGATTTGAAAGCCCCTGGTTACCTTTACAGTAGGAAAGCCCTGCTGGGTGCGGTCCTTTACCGACCCCCTGCTACCTTCAGTTAAGTAGCGAGCTCGGTGCTGAGTCTCGGGCTGGACAAGAATTTTAAGCTCCTTCCCCTCACACTTCTGTGGGAACTGTATCGAAAGAGTTCCCCTTTTCTGATTAGTTGTCTGCGGTTCATCAGAGCTGCAACAAACACATTTTTGACAAAACGGATTACTTTTAAATATTCATTTCTCCTAATCTAGCATTTTAACACCATTCTGAATGTATGTTTGTGTAGATTCTCAGTACACGGCAAATCAAGAGTTTCGTAGACAAAAGCAACTGGGCTTTGATTCTGAAGTTCTCATTCTCTTTAGGCTCTGAAAATACAAATATATAGTACATACACATACTTACATACGTAGACTGTATAACATACAGAGGAATTTACAATGACGAAAACAGTTCTGTAGTTGCCATGGTGCTCTGAGCAATGCAGATTTAAGAGACACTCCATCAACCAAGTATATTCTAACCTGGGCTCTTAAAATGTTCAGTTATCTGTGTATTTAATCTGCTCTGCTTATCCTAGGTCTTAGAGAGAGACTGTGATTCACTGTGGCCGACCATTGTTTGTACTTCAGTATCCTGCCCCTCCCTCCTCTTAGGTCCAACTTCTCTCCTTCAGTCTAAGAGTTTTGGAAATATGGAGCCATTGTAGTTTGGTAAAGATTTCCATCTGTTGGTGTCGGTGTGTCATTTACATTTAATACCTGATTAAACGAGCGCCACACAAGATTGTTTAGAATGGTCTTCACTAGAAATAAAAGATAAAACAAAGACTTTAAAAGCCTTCGTTTAAGAACATGGTGCTGTACACACCAACCAAAAGATATTGACAGAATGTAGGATGTCTTTATTATTGAATGATCCATGCCTCATATTAAATAATTACTAGTAAACTGCAGAAAACTTGATGCAGTTTTTGGTCAAAATGAGAAACACGGCACTGATATTTTTAGTTCAGTTTACGGTTAGTATGAGTAAAAGTATTCTGAAATAAATACAAACCTTCCTTTCGTTCCAGTCTTGATGTCAGGGCCGAGCTGTGACAGGACAAAGTGTGGAGCTTTGGCGCTGTCTGCATCAAACACGTCCATGCTGCTCTCCGCTGCTCGCACAGTTTTAGGACCTGGTCTCTGGCGAGGGGTACGTTTGCGGGACTTCCGTGGCACCTCCGTGTTGTCATTGTAAGAAGTAGTGCTCATGACGCTGAAATTGGACAGAGAGTCATCCATCCAGATGCTGCTGCTTTGCTCAGAGTCCAGGGTTGGTGCATCCTGGCATGACATGTGACTATCATCGAACAGGTCTTGTGGAGGTGGAGAAATATTAAGAGCTGTGCGACGCTTGGATGGGGTCATCTGATGATGTAGCTGGCTGTCCTGGGGTGTTGGACCTCTTCCTCCTCCCAGCTCATTGCTGCCCCTATTGTTGCCACCACTGGTGATCTTCCCATTCTCATCATCTGCTGCAGTGATCTCTGGTACCACTCTACTGCCTCTGGTGTCCTCTGGATCAGCGTTCCTGTTGTTGTTGCTCTGGTCATTAAGTGAAGAACTGGAATGCATGACTGTGCTGGAAGGTGTACAAAAAGCACTGCGAGGCCCTTCCGTGGTCAGAGAAGACATGGCATCTGAAGTGTAGAGAATTGGACAGTTAATAGAGGCATCTCATCCTGTGTAGGGTAGCAGCCCATGTGTGAAAGAAATTAGGTTTTAGTTGGTTTATTTGTTGTTTTGTTTAATAAAGTAAGTTTCTTTCAGCCACTCCCTTCTGCAGGGGTCACCACAGCGAGAGAACTTGCATGAAAGATTTGGCAGTTGTTTTATGCCAGATGCCCTTCCTGATGCAACCTGGGCTTGAACCCGCAACCTCAGGATTACAAGACCATGGCACTGACCATCAAGCTACTGCAGCCCCTTACCAAAAGAAAATACATACTGTAAATAAATGTCCCCCATTTTCACTAGACTAAGGCTATAGTGCTGAACATTCAGTTTATGAGTTTGTGTATGTGCAGTACTGCAGAGGACAAAAGTTAAAAAAAAAAAAAAAAAACTCATCTATGAAGAGCAACATATATAATCTGTATTTAAAAATAATCTACAAAAATGTAACTTTCATTGTTTTTAGCATTTTGCTTAAAATTGTAAGTGGTATGCCAACTATTAGAGCATATGTGTCCAACTCCAGGCCCGGGGGCCAAACGTGGCCCTCGCTGGCATCTTATCTGGCCCCCCAAGATGTTGTTTTAGATGCACAATACTTTTATCACTTTAATTTTTTGTCATCAATCTTTGATTATGATGTCCAAAGTGCAACAGAGAACGTTAAATGAGACCAATCATACTCTTGCCGAGGAACCAGCAACCAAGACAAGATGTTGGGTATCTAACTTGAGTTAATGTAGATTCTGAAACCGGCCCTTAGTTTGAAAAGGGTTTTAATTTTGTTCCCCTTTTGTAAGTGGGTTTAACACGCCTGCATTAGTTTGAATTTTCGTCCCTTTTTTATTTGGCTACAAAAGTAATTTACAAGACTTGAAGAAGCCACAGAAACAAAACAAGCTTCTGACCTATGCAGATAACTGCAGACCATTTTATATGCAGATACGTCCTGCTTCACAGGTAACTTCAATACAAAAGGTGAGTCAGCAAAAAAAAAAAAAAAAAAAAAATCAGATTAAGAGAATTATAATATGTTGTGACATCCCCTCTTGAGTTGCTCCAGCATGCTGGAGCAACTCAACTCCAACCACCTGGAGCAGAAAAACTCTTACGTCCGTATGCTCTTTGTGGACTTCACATCCGCCTTCAACACCATGATCCCCCAAACCCTGATGGACAAACTATCCACACTAGGACTAAGCCCCTCCATCTGCAACTGGGTACTAGACTTTTTAACAAACAGACCACAGTTAGTGAGGATCCACAACCTCTCCTCCTCCACCATAACCCTCAGCACTGGCTCTCCTCAGGGATGTGTGTTGAGCCCCCTCCTGTTTACTCTGCTCACGTATGATTGTGCAGCTACCCATCCAGGCTGTCACATTGTAAAGTTTGCAGATGATACAGCTGTGGTGGGATGCATCACAAACAATGATGAGTCCAGCTACAGGCAAGAGGTGGAACACCTGGAGAGCTGGTGCAGAGAGAATAACCTTCACATCAATGTGAAGAAGACAAAGGAGATGATTGTGGACTTCAGAAGGAACAAAAACACCTACACCCCCCTGAACATAAGAGGATCTGCGGTGGAAGTGGTCTCCAGCTACAAGTACTTGGGTGTACACATGAATGACAACCTCAGCTGGAGCAACAACACCACCAGCCTGATGAAGAAAGCTCATCAGAGACTCTACTTCCTCAGACGGCTGAGGCGAGCTGGTCTGGGAAGCTCAGTCCTCACCTCCTTCTACAGGTGTGCAGTGGAGAGCATCCTGTGCTCGAGCATCATTGTGTGGCATGGAGGCTGCACAGCTGCAGAAAGAAAAGCTTTGCAGAGAGTGGTGAAGACTGCACAGAAGATGAAGGAGTCAGTCTCCCCACCATCACAGACATCTACACCTCCAGATGCAGGAAGAGGGCCACCTGCATCATGAAGGACCCCACCCACCCAGCACACACACTTTTTGCCCCACTCCCCTCAGGAAGGAGGTTAAGGAGCATTAAGTGTAGAACCACTAGACTGAGGAACAGCTTCTACCCTGAGGCTGTTAGACTCATGAATCTCTAACTAGAATAATCACTGTGAAAAACCATATCATGTTGCTGCTGATCTGTTTCATGTTGCTGCTGATCTGTTTCATGTTGCTGCTGATCTGTTTCAATGTTGATGTGTTCATGCGTGCACATCTGCTCACAGACTCATGTTTATATTTGTGCTGATGTTCAATGTTTTATGTTATGAGTGCTTAGTGTATATTTAGTTGATGTTTTTCTTAGTTCATATCTTAGATGTTATTACTGTTTTTCTTATACATTTTATTGTTGGATGTAACTGGGACCCTGTGTACATAATTTCGCTCCACCACATGTACCACATGAGGTGCGAATGACAATAAAGAAACTCTGACTCTGATGCTGCTGCCAAATCCTGTAACTCTAAGCAGTTATTATGAACTCGAAGAAAAACTTGTGAGGGAAAGTGGGATTAAGCTGCAGGTCACAAAAATTGAGTTAGCTGTTGCTAAAATGCTGGTTTGTTTGGTGTCTCAGTAGTTTGCACAATCCACAGTCGAGGGGGAAAAAGCATATAGACTGCAGAAAAGAGGTGTCATACGCACATTTAGAAGCCAAACAACATAACTAAGGTCCAAAATTTAACAAATACCAAAGGGATTTGCTGAATGACAACAGCACATCAAATAATACTCGAGCGACTGAGAAAAAACAGTAGAAGTAATATACAACCATTTTTAAAACAATTAGAGGTTTTTTTTGTTTATAGTTTTTAAGAAAGCTTAAAATTTCAGGAAAAAACAACTTTTTTTTTCTTTGGTACTTATGCTTTAACTTGCATTAACATTTTTTATATAAACATACAGACGCCCCAATATATCACAAACACAAATGCCCACTCAAAATATCAATATGTTAGTCGATGACACCTCTGATTTGTTTGAGCTTAAACTATATGTATGCTTCAAACCTGCCCTTTCTAGTGTATTCACAGGATCATAATGTGATGATCTTTGACCATGTTTAAATTTCAACATAAACCCAGGATGGCAGGACAACTGTAAATTGAAACAATTTAAAATAAAAGATACAAGATTTGTTTATCTATCGTTTCCTCATTCCTTTCCACACCCCTTTGTGACTTGCAGGGAACATACAACGGCTGACACTTTTTACCACCTAAACTCCAAATGGAATTAAATTTGACAAACAGTAGCCCCTCGCTTATTGCAGGGGATCCGTACACTGAAGCCCCAAGATAAGTGAACAACCGCAAAGTAGGAATACTAGTACAAGTAGTAAGTAGCAGCTTATTTTAGTATATCTATCCATACATCTATATATATCTATCTATCTATATATATTATATATATAAATATAAAACTCTTCCCACACTTTTGTAATATTCTAAACCATGTTTCTAAACTCTAAATGCTCTAAAAGAGCACAGCATGTCATAAACTCAACTCTCTGCTACACACTGACACGCCCACTTCTGGCCACGCCCACTTCTGGCCACGCCCACTTCCCCGCAGCAGAACGGAGATCACAGAGGAAGAAGGAGGAGGTGCACAAAGGTGCAGCAGGTGCTAAATAATTTAAAATAATTCATTTCAAATAAAAATTATATGCTGATCCTGTGGCTCGTCCATCAAAAGCCAATTGTGCGTCATGTCCAATCTTATTTTGAAAAACCGTGATGGAGCGAGGCCGCGAAAAACGAACCGCGAAGTAGCGAGGGTCTACTGTGCAAGATAATTTGTGCAGAACATTCAACAAGCTTCTCAGTCACGATCTTGTTTCGTGACTTCTATATTTATCCACTAATAAGACTGTGTTCTGAGCAGCGGCTCCATCTTGGCTGAAAGATACCTAATCATACCCCCCAAAAAAGTGTAAGCATTATCATGATTCTCTGTGGTGTTACATAAGAAACAAAAACTTTAATGGTGTTTTTTATTATCACGGTTTTACAGTTTAATCAACCATAATTTATATTACCATACTAATTACATTTAACAAAAATACTACTGTCAAGAGCGTAACACCGTGTGAATATGTTACACAATCCAACCGATTGGTGGCAAGAGACAACAACATAGTAACACGAAATCACAACAAGCAGGAACAGGTAGCAGGCATGTTTAGCTGACCTTAACTTCATTCAAGAGCTTTGTTTTTTCTCACATGTGGAAAATCAAAGAGAAGCAGGCTGCTTGTACAACAGGCTTTCCTGCTGCATGCAGGTGTTTGTGTTCGCCTAAAGGTACAGACTCTTACACGAGTAGTGGTTTAGAGGGTGGGGCAAGATCAGTCCTGCTCGCAGAGGAGAAGTGAGGACAGAGGATGCAGGATCCTACCTGATGCTAGAGGAGCTGAAGGGAGAGGCCCGGCCTCTCCATCGCTCTTGTGACTCATGACTTCTGGGTTCTGATGGGTGTAGGAAGACAACTGCAGCTCTCTGGGAAGAAGTTCATACACTGACGCTGTTGTCATCAACACTCATACGATAAAATATAAATAAATGAAAAAGTCATTGACATTTACAAAATTGAAAGAACATAACCATGACCAGGCTGAGTAAAAAAAGTAGCCAAGTTATATTTATGAGAACAATGTGCTCCATCATCGTTTCAGACGCCAAACAGGTTTCCAGTCCTGTATTTCTGCCAAAGTTTGACGGAAGCAGCACACATGCACAGTCATGCTACACCACTACCAGCCCTCCATACAGCATTAAACAAATATGTAACAAATGGTCCATGATGATGGTTTGGATCAGAAACTATAATGTCAATAAAATGAATTAAAATAAAGTGTGTAAGGAACAGCAATAACATGTGCTGCTTTATTCCTTAAAAAAAAAAAAAAAAAAAAAAAAAGCACTTAAGCACAACTCTTCTGTGCGTCATTAGAACAGATGAATTTTCACGACGGCTAAAAAGGCACGGAGAAACAAGCTCAGAAGAACCAGAGATATTATCTTTTTATTTCACTCATTCTTCATGCATGTCAAAGCATGACATTCTGCATTGCTAAAAGTGCAGTCATTTTTCTTGCATGTCAAAGCCTGACATGTACATTAGCTGCAGTTCAACACATCACCAACAGCGCAGTGAAAGACCTGGGTGTGTTTTCGACTGTCGCCTGTCACTGCCTCAAGGTAAGAGGAGAGGAGGGCTGCAAAGGTCTAAGCAGCTCCTGCCTTGTTACTCCAAAAACATACCCCGTGTTTGCCTGTTTATTTTTCCTGGTTTGAAACTTTAGACTAAGTTCAACTGACATCACTTTAAGCAATTTTGTAGGCGTCATACAGCCTTTATGGTGAAAAATGTACACGTTTTTGCATGCAACAGATGTGTAAAACTGGAGTTTCCACTAAAGGTTTATGACCAATGCTACAACATAAGCACTAAAACATTTGACTATTTTTACAGCATTTATTTTCTCTGTTGTTTTTCTTGGCTTTATACGACCGTTAATGGAATAGGTTTGGACATTGTACCATTGATCCGACAAAGCAAGAGTTTTAATGGACATTTTTTAATATAGGGTAAATGTTACCTTACACAACAACAGAAGATCTGGTATGTTTAATTAGTGATAAAAATCGCAAAGGTTGCACATGTTTGACAGTTTTGTTTACCTTCGCAAATGCTGAATGGGACTATGTAAAGCTTGAAAATCTCAGAAACCTCTGGAAATTATATTTAACTCACTGTTCATCACCTTTTAATGCCTTTACAGCACTGAGATGCCCCTAACTAAATATCTTGTGGATCTGAATACAACATGAAAGAAAAACAAATAGGACCAGAGAAATCAAACAAAAGGCAGATCTTCGTAGGCGACAGTACAACATAGATCCTTTACTCTCTATGCCCGTCTTAAGAGCTTCCCCTCACCATGGGATGAGGGGAAGCTTTGGGTCAACAGCATGAAAACACTTACTAAGCAGACTGATTCATCATACAAATATTATGGTATGAACTAAAAGCGACCATTACAGTCGCCTGACTCTTTTCTCTGCCAACTGCCAGCTTTAATTACTTGCAGCTGAGTCCCAGAGTTTGGTGTGTATATCTGATACTTAACCCTCCCATTGTTGCCACTCATGGTGTACAATAGACAAACCTGGGACCTACTGAAACTAACCCATGGCTCTTCATTTCTAAAGTCCTCCAGTCTCTTACGGTTTGCTTTTAGAAGAGCGAGAAACCCAGGTTCTCATAAACAGATCTTAAAGCTGGACTCGGTAAACTCGTATAACTCACTCTGAGCCAAACATACACAGAGGATTCTAGTGTGGCTGTGCTGGTTATTTGCTACGTTCTGCAAACAAAAAAGTCACACACGTGCATGCATATGCACAAAAACATTTGCCATCATGCCCACAAAAACACTCTGTCCACCTCTGCAGTTACACTTTAAATCTAGACTTCTTGGGGTTTACTGCGACTGCACATGCAGAAGCATGTGCTCTACGTGAAAAACCCTTCCAGTAAACAGATTGCCAACCACACAGACAGAAAATATGCACTTTTCAGAGCACTGGCCTCGACTCACTGGCTGGCCTGTCCAAAGTGTTTCCATAGTTCCTATGGCGTTTTAGGACAGACAAAAATCTTATTTTGCTGCATGTTTGCTTCCTCTTAAGCAGACGGAGTGTAATTTTTAATTTACACGTGACAACACAGTCTTTCACACAGAGGCAAACGAAAATAAAAACATAAAAACTCTGCCTTTTATTTAGCTTTTAAAAAAAGAAGCATACTGACTCGCAACGCTTTCCGTTATGACTCTGACTAGTCATACTGTGCAGTCAGACCACTGACCATACAGAAAAACTTTAACCTTTTTCTCTCCATCCTTAATAAAAAAAAAAATCAATTTGTAACTCATAGTCAAACAACACATCACTTACACTTATAATCCAAATTCCATGGTAGATATGTTGAATGCTTTGTTTTTGTGCTATACAATGCCTTGTGATATGTTTATATAAAAAGTAATTCAGGCTAAAAGTGGAAAAAAAAGGCACTCACCATGTGAATGGCAGGACTTTGACTCCCATTCATTCCCCTCACATTCCAGCTGCTTGCTCTTACTAGCCCTGGCATCTGGGGCGTGGCACTGGTTTTTGGCTGAGTGAGTGATTTAACTCCGTTCTGTGCCCCCTCCTCCACTCAACCTACCTCTCTCCCTGTCTTGTTTATTGTTCTCAGACCCTTTTCTACACTGCACCTTGCTCAACAGGTTTGTGGTATTGTCATGTGGAATCCTGTCAAGCAGAACCAAAAGAGTAGTGTAACATGGTTGGTAAAAAGTTGTGTTTACACTGTTACACAGGGTGGGCAGCCTGACTTTAGAAGAATGAACTTTGCTTAGGATGACAAGATTAAGAGGAGAAGCTTAAGCGCACCTTGTCAGTGCATTTGGAGATTATTCCATGAGTGAGGGGAACGCAGTGAAAGGCTGGCACCTGCAGCAAGCCATGTACAACAACCCTGAAATGTTTACAGCCAAGCCTACACAAGGGCTGCGTGGGACTCCATAGTAACACAGACTAGGGGATGTGTCGTTTGGGCCTTTGTGTCTCTTGTGAGCTTGATGAAGATGAAAAGATAAAACTGTACCATAAAGAATTGGTCATAAAGAGCATGACATTACCTGAATTTTAAGGCAATTATTGTAAAATGTGCCATTTTTGTCCTCACCACCAACTACGCCCCAAAAAAACAACATTAATAGAAAAATATACTATGGACATTATAAATTTGAACTAAGTTAATCTAATTAAGATTTCCAAAAGTGCATGCGCACATGTGCAGCCCTTCAGGAGCTGCATGACGTACTGCGTCTGAAGTTCAGCATGAATGAATAATCACAGAACTCGATCAGTTTGACTCGATAATAACTGCACGACACTCTGCAAAATGATCATGTAAAGTCATGCATATTCAGGCAACAGATTTATTAATATGCCACAGCGGGAATTTGTCTAAAGGACAGCCCGTTTCATTTTTTGTGCATTTAATTTTTATTTGTGAAATTGCACAGAACTAAGCAAATATAGGTCGTAAACAATTTTTCATCTTAAACTCAAAATTTAAACTTTTTTTTTTTTGAAAAGCATGAGTTTTTATACGCGATTTCTTTTTTTTTTTTTTTTGCCAAACTTCCATTTTTCCGAAATCAGAAGTAAATCTGAGATACAGAATACACTAGTCTTAAAACTTATTTGCTAAACCAACTTTGTGCTGTTTAAACTGCATTTTTGTGTGAATACATCAGAGTTAATTTAATGCAAACAGAAAATATATCGACTACTTTCAAGATGTGAAAAGTTGACAATGCTCTGTAAAAAACTGGCAACGTTCCTGTTTTGTGATCATTTAACAGCCCTCGAGTGAATAAATTGTGTTTTATGTAGGAAATGTATAATTGAGTTATTATATGTTCTTTCTGCGCCACATTTGTTTACAGTCTAAAAAGGAAAATAAAGTTATTTTATTTTTACTGCATTTAGTAATTGAACAACTTTTGACCAATTAACATACTGAATGAATTGATACTGATAGCCAATTTATCAATATTCTGTCTTATGTCTATGATCTGGTGCTGGAGGCAACAGATCCAGGAGGACAGTTTGAACATTCCTCACCCCAGCAACACATCCTAGACCAGAGAGAACACACAATCCCTAAAGCAGTTTCTGGGTCTGTCCTGATGCATCCTTCCAGCGGGGTGTGTCTAGAAAACCCCAGGAGCCATTCTAATCAGCCCAAACCACCATAGCTGAGTCTTTTTGATGCAGAGAAGCAGCAGCTCTAGTCCAAACTCCCTCCAGATGACGGAGCTCTGCTGATCCCACAGAATTGCCACCCTTACTTGATGGAGGGGTATGAGTACTCCCAGGGTCCTAGAGGCAAAGTTGACTACAGTGTTTGATAGTCTCCCACAGCAAACTGGACCCAGTGGAAGGTCTTATGAACAAAGACCACATCTATTAGGATGTCTCACCTAGATCACAAAAACTGGTGCACCCTTTTAGAGGGTGTGAGCTCATGAATGTGTCGGACAGGAAATCACCTCCCTGGGGGTAAACCACCTGAGGGGAAAAGAGTCAAGGTCGAACGCTATGCAAGAACAGGAGGTGAGGGCGAGGTCGTAGGCATGTTGATTCCTGATAACAACTGTTTCATTATGATAATTATCAACAAAAATATGTCATGATGTTAACAGTTCTGAGGAACCTTTGTTTGGCTTTTCTTACAAAAATATACTGAGGTCATTCGGAGTATTTTGTTACACTTACAATATCAATGAAAACATGATATAATAAAATGAAAACAGTGTAGCTTCCAAAACTTTTTAAAAAGGTACGCACTGACAGTAAACGTCTAATAAACATTTGTACACGGATAAATACAACACCTTTTCCAGCGGTGCTGCTGAAGCATTGCACGGTGACTTTTTAAAAAAT